AGAGAAGAAGAAGTAAAGGCTGAAGGACTCTGAATTGTGCCTTTGAGAAATTTGGTTCCAGGGGATGATGGGGGGCACTGTTATTGGGCAATTAAATGTAAATGGGGAGGGTTAGAAGTTCTAAAAGATTGACACAGTTCATAAGAAGTACAAAGATGTTGGCTTCTTTACTTTCTCCCTTATATGTAGTTTTCCCCTCCCCCTTTTCTGTTGTAGTTTTTTGTAGTGTTAAAAAAAATCAATAAAAAAAATCCCCTCCGGGGGCAAAAAAGAAAAGAAAAGAATTTTTTAGTCAGTAGTGGGTTCTTTACTTTCTCCCTTATATGTAGTTTTCCCCTCCCCCTTTTCTGTTGTAGTTTTTTGTAGTGTTAAAAAAAATCAATAAAAAAAATCCCCTCCGGGGGCTAAAAAAAAAGAAAAGAAAAGAACCCATTGTATATGGAAACTGTCATGAGCCCGCTTTGTGGGGAGGGCGGGGTATAAATTTGATAATAAATTAATAAAAATAAATGAGAGCCATGTTTGTTACAGTGGTTAGGAGTGCAGACTCTAATATGGAGAACAGGGTTTGATTCCCCACTCCTCCACCAGCAGCCAACTGGGTGACCATAGAGTTTCCCCTCGGATGGTTGTGGCCCCGCCCCCAGCATGCCCAGCATCATAACGTCACTTCCTGGTGACGCACACGCTGGGGTGGGGTTCCCCCTGGGGCCCGATTCAGCAGTGGCGGAAATCGGGTTTCCAAAGCGGGGGTTTACCCGCCACCCGCCCCCACTTGGCAGCCCTATGTCCCGCCCTCCCTGCAAGTGAGCTCAGGGTGGTTCACAACAGTAAAGTTACAAAACCATCAAAACAAGTATAACAAATCAATAATTAAAACAGTAAAAAAGGCACTAAATTCATAAGGTTCAACAATCCTAAGTAGCTGGAAACAACTAGGTCATAAGCCAAAGAACAGTAAAGATCTTATTCATATAATTGTCCCCAGATGTCATGCTAATGTCTCAGTGTGGGTTTGTGCAACTGATCCCCAAAAGCCGCTGTCATCAGCTGCTGTAGCATTGTTTTGTCACTCAAAACTGTTCTGCAGAATGTGGAATTTACACGTGATGCAGATGGGAGGCAGGTCTGAAAACAGCTCACCATCTGGTATCCTATAGGCAACCTCTGCTACAACGTGTTTTTTTTAAGGTTTTGTAATTCTTCAGTTTACATACTCACACACACCCCTATCCATTAAGTGACTGCCATGCTTTTGATTTTATTTATTTATTTAGATTTATGTCCCGCTAGGGTTGCCAAGTATAACTTACCTCCACAGCGGGGGACTCCCGGGTGGATCCCGGAGCGTGCGCGCGCGCGAAGCGCAGGTGTGCTGCACGCATGTCACCAGGAAGTGACGTTATGACGCCGGGCACGCTGGGGGCGGGGCCACGACCATTCGAGGGGAAACCATAAAGTCACCCAGCGGCTGCAAGTGGAGGAGTGGGGAATCAAACTCGGTACTCCCAGATTAGAGTCTGCACCAGGGGTCATTTCGTAGAAAAAGAGCTAGGGGGACTCATTAGCATAACTCATTAGCATATGCCACACCCCCTGACATCACCGGAAGTGTGTCCTCCCCACAGCCGGCGGCGACCTCCAGCGGGCACCAGCAGGGAGCTCCAGGCCCCGCCCTCCCGCACCTCACTCGGGGGATGGCGTCCCCCCGCCCCCCCCAAATGACCCCTGGTCTGCACACTTAACCACTACACCACACTGGCTCTCCACTAGGCCGGGGACAGGGCAGAAAAAAAGTCTTGGCCCTGGTCGAGGCTAAGCACATATCATTTGGACCAGGGACAACCAGTAGATGATGGTCCGCTGAGTGCAAGGCTCTTCAGGGTACATATGGGGAGAGGTGGTCCCTTAGATATGTTGGTCCCAGGCCACATAGGGCTTTAAAGATTAATACCAACACCTTGAAACGGGTCCAGTACTCAATTGGTAGCCAGTGTAATTGGCGTAGCACTGATTTTTTAAAAAAATTATTTTTGTTCTTTTATACGTTACAATCCATACAATACGTAACACAACACAACACAACGTTCTTTCATGTGTTACAATCCATACATTACATAACACAACATACAAAAACCAGGGAGAGTAAACCGCAAAAAGATGTGAGTTATATAACCAGCATAAACACTGATTGAATGCACGCCCACACAGATGTCACAGTCAGCAGGTGCACCACCACATTTTGCGTTAGGTGGAGTTTCTGGATCAGCTTCGGAGGTAAACCCATGTAAAGCAAGTTATCGTAATTGGTGAACATTGCATGGGTCACTATAGCCAAGTTCTGGGGGGGGACGACGACAGAGAACCATTTGCCTGATCTGCCAAAGATGATCAAAGGCTGACCTGGCAACTGTGGTGACCTGGGCCTGCATAGAGAGTGAGGCATCCAGAGTAACCCCTAGGCTCCTCACCTTCTGGGCCGGCACTAACGGTGCCCCATCCAGGGCAGGAAGCCTGATTCCATAATCTGCCTCCTCCCCAGCTCAGGTACAGGACCTCCGTCTTTTTGGATTTAGCTTCAGCTGACTCTGCTGTGACCACCCAGCCACAGCCTCCAAAACCCTGTCCAAGCTCTCTGGGGCAGAGTCCAGGTGGCCATCCAACAGCAGAAAGATCTGGGTGTCATCAGCATACTGGTGGCAATCCAGCCCAAACCCCTAGACTAAACTGGGAGAGGGGGTGCACGTAGATGTTAAAATTCATTGGCGAGAGGATCGCCCCCTGTGGCACTCCACATTCCAATGGATATCACAAGGAGACCCTCTCACCAAGTGCCACCTTCTGTCCCCAACCATGGAGAAAGGAGGAAAACCATTGTAAGGCAGTCCCCCGCACCCCTATGCTAGCAAGACAGTGGGTCATAAGGTCATAATTGACCATGTTAAATGCTACCATTAAGTCCAGAAGCAACAGCAGCCCTGACCCACCCCAATCCAGCTGTCTCTGGAGGTCATCCGTGAGAGCAACCAATACCATTTCCATCCCATGATCAGGGCGGAAACCAAACTGGAATGAGTCCAGGATGGATGCATCATCCAAGAAAGCCTGAAACGGCTCAGCCACTGCCTTCTCAACTATCTTGCCCAGACACAGTAAATTCGAGACTGGGCAGTAGTTGGCTAGGACCACAGGGTCCAGTGATGGTTGTTTTTTTTTAAAAAAAGAGCAGATGTACCACCACTCTTAAAAATTGGCTTTGGCTAAAGAAGTTTATGCCACAATAAGCAAGTCTTGAAGGTACCACAAAAATAACAATGTTTGTTTGGGTTTCCCCCCCTGCAATAAATTAACACAGCTAGTCCTCTGCATTTTTTTTGCATTCTGTAGTGATTCCATTGAACTCAGCTAAGCTTCAGAAAAATTAATGTTTCTGGAATAAGTTTCCTATTTGTGTCCGATGAAGGAAACTTTGACTCTCAAAAGCTTATACATTGAAACTCTTTTTGGTCTTTAAGGTGCTACTGGACTCAAATCCAATTATTCTTGAATAAGAGGAAAACACTACTCCTTGGTGATTTGTCGGGGAGGGGGGGCTTCCCTTAATGTTCATAGCGACTGCTGATGCAATTCTACTAGCAGTTCTTGCTGTCTGTAACATAACTTTAGATCACTATAAGTTCCTACTTGATACTATTTAAAACTGATCAGGCTACAAGTGAAAACTGAGTATGTAAGAACACAAGACTTGTACTCCTGCTGTATCAATCTTGTTGGATCTGGTTTCCAACAATGGCCAGCCATATGCCTTCTGAAGTTCACCAGCTGGGCATGATAATGGTGGCCATTGTCTCTTGTTTGCCACTAGATTGCAGCAGTTGCTACTGCTGCTCCTTACAGTGGTAAGAACCCAAACATGAAAAACAATACAGGCCCCGGTCACATGGGCCGGATATCGTGGGGGGAGGCGTGGCTAAATGCCCCGAAGGAAACTAACACGTGGCTGCCTGGCTGCCCGAGCACATGTCCCGGTCGAGGTCCCGTGGTTCGGGGAAATGCCAATCAGATGGGTATCCTGCAGCACGGCAAAGAAGCCGCGCAGCGCGATCGCACTGGCAACCGCTCTTTTATGCCCATGCTGTTCCTGAGGGGCCACTGACTCCCAGTAACAAAATGGGTAGGGTATTGGGTGTCAGCAGGAGGAAGAAGTAGGTAAGCCACTTTTTGTGAATGCCACAGATGTGCACAGATATTTGGATACATGGTTCTGAAATGAATCCCTATATAGCCTGACACCGTTACATTCAAATGTGTGACCCTTAAATATAGAATGGTGGTGGAGAGCAGCAGCAGCAGCAGATGATAACAATGGTTAGAATGAGTCTTGTCTCCTTTGTCCAAACTCCTATTAAGTAGAATGCCTATTCAAAAGGTGGCACAGTGTGCTGCCTGATTCCTCATGTGGCTCTTACTCCCAAAACAGAGGCATCTTTTGTGCTGTGGCATAGCCCAGGACATTGAATCACTCCAAAATGCTTAAATTAACATGAAATTAGAATTACGTATCCTCCTGTTAGCAAAGGCTCATTCTGTGCACGATATGCAAAGATTGCTGTTAAAGCCTTCCTAACTCCTGTATCTAATTAATTCTTTCCATCTTTCAACCTTGATCATTTCACAATTCAGCATTAAAAATGGAAATATATCTACAATCTGTGTCTACCTATGAAATGAAAGTGTCTTAAGCTACTCTACAGTGGCAGGAAACTCTGGTAAAAGCGCCATGTAAATCTTTCTTTTTAGGTAAATTTTTATTAGATTGTTGAGATTTTTTTTAACATACAGTGACAAGAAGAGAAATGACTTGGTACATGATAACGTTGGAATATATTTTCTTTTGCAGATATTAATGAATGTGTAACAGATGCTCATACCTGTAAGAGAGGGGAACACTGCATTAACACAATTGGGTCATTTACATGCCTCCAACAACTCAGCTGCCATTCAGGCTATGAACTTAAGGATGGAGAATGTGTTGGTGAGGCCAAGACTTTACATATATACAAGTGGAGAACTGCTTTTTAATGGCCAGACTCATACTGCCAATTTGTATTACACTTTATGGGTATTCCTGCATGGACAAAAGTATCAGCATTTTGAGCTGAGATATGTATTTTTCTTCCATAAGTGCATTTATATTTAATGCCTTTTAAGATAAAGAGTAGTGATTACAAAACCTATTTTTATTATTCTTGGTGTATGACTTAGTTTCTGCCTGGTCATGATGAGGAATTGTTGAAGGAAAATAATTTTGAAATTCAGATTTATAGTATGCTAATTTAAATATTTTTTAGCATTTCCTGGTTATGAATGTTTTTGGGTTTAGGGCCTTACTTTAAAAAAGAGGCAATTGTATGAAAGTTTTTTCAATCTGAGCCAGTGGACTGCAAAGATTTTACACATAGTCTGTTATAGCAAAATTGAGTAGAACCTTGTGGTACCTTTATGATTAAGTGGCAGATTATAGATGAACATTTGTTGACCAGAATCCTTTGCCTTCATCAGTACATCTGATGAAATGGGCATGTTTATGGCATAATACACCTGTTACAGCACAATCCGGGGGGGGTGTGTGTTAAAATTGCACAGAGATGCAATATCTCTGAGATATGCTGGTATATCTCTGAGATGTGCCAATAGATTGGCCCAGTGGCACTGTGCCCCAGCCATGTGTCGGCAAGGCAATGCCACAGAGCAATGCCAGTGCAAGCTAATATGCTGACAGGGAAAGGATAGACCCAGGATTCTGACAGGAGTTAGATGGTTCCCCTAACCCTCCCAAACCAATGTAAATTTAAGCCATCAAAACTGCTGTGTAGCCCACAGGTGCCCATACAAGGGGATAGGCCAATTCCCCTCCCCACAGGTGCAGTCCCACCCCAAGATCCTGGCTGACTAAAGCTATAACCAATCCTCCCTCCCCACCAGCAGCGAAAGTTCCCCCACCCCTAATTACAGTCCCCCCCAGCACTATATAACCCCCAGCTAGGCACTCCATAGTTCCATAGGTGGGGCATGCAGCACGATACTCTGTCTTGAGACATCTGTCCTGTGCACACAGAGCATTTTGAGCTGAGATATGTATTTTTCTTCCATAAGTGCATTTATATTTAATGCCTTTTAAGATAAAGAGTAGTGATTACAAAACCTATTTTTATTATTCTTGGTGTATGACTTAGTTTCTGCCTGGTCATGGTGAGGAATTGTTGAAGGAAAATAATTTTGAAATTCAGATTTATAGTATGCTAATTTAAATATTTTTTAGCATTTCCTGGTTATGAATGTTTTTGGGTTTAGGGCCTTACTTTAAAAAAGAGGCAATTGTATGAAAGTTTTTTCAATCTGAGCCAGTGGACTGCAAAGATTTTACACATAGTCTGTTATAGCAAAATTGAGTAGAACCTTGTGGTACCTTTATGATTAAGTGGCAGATTATAGATGAACATTTGTTGACCAGAATCCTTTGCCTTCATCAGTACATCTGATGAAATGGGCATGTTTATGGCATAATACACCTGTTACAGCACAATCCGGGGGGGGTGTGTGTTAAAATTGCACAGAGATGCAATATCTCTGAGGTATGCTGGTATATCTCTGAGATGTGCCAATAGATTGGCCCAGTGGCACTGTGCCCCAGAGCAATGCCAGTGCAAGCTAATATGCTGACAGGGAAAGGATAGACCCAGGATTCTGACAGGAGTTAGATGGTTCCCCTAACCCTCCCAAACCAATGTAAATTTAAGCCATCAAAACTGCTGTGTAGCCCACAGGTGCCCATACAAGGGGATAGGCCAATTCCCCTCCCCACAGGTGCAGTCCCACCCCAAGATCCTGGCTGACTAAAGCTATAACCAATCCTCCCTCCCCACCAGCAGCGAAAGTTCCCCCACCCCTAATTACAGTCCCCCAGCACTACATAACCCCCAGCCAGGCACTCCATGGTTCCATAGGTGGGGCATGCAGCACGATACTCTGTCTTGAGACATCTGTCCTGTGCACACAGAGCACAAAGAGTTGCACTTCACTGGTGGGAGAGGCATAGAGAGGGCACTTAGCACTACCACCCAAGGTGGAGAACAAAGTCCATTCCGTGTGGCTTCCATTTATCATTTCAGAATCCTAAGATGTACCCCATTTCAGAGGCTTAACCTAATGGGTAACAGGTGATCAGGGGTGGGAATCCAGCTGCTGGGAGTCTGCACCTTTCCCCCTCTTCTCCCTCACACAAGACCAGCTGCCATCTCAACGATACTGGCTCCCATACCTGAGTCTCGTGGTGTGTGCATATGGGAGTGACCAAAGCCAAGCCCACCTGGCACCATGCCCCATGTCAAGAGTGTTCCCTGGAGAGCTACCAATGATGGGAAAGGGGAATTCTAGCAGCCTCATACTGAGCTGTTTGCACACTCCTTTGACAGGGTGCCACTCCCCCAGGTGGAAGACTGGGCACAACTGTGCTGTGGGATGCCTAGCAGCTGCCCCCTGTACTCTTGTGGATCGGCTGGCCAAGCAAGCATGATCCATTGTCTTGCAGGATCCCCCTTTTGTGTTTTGCGGGGGCAAAATGTCAGCTTCAAGGCTTTTGCCTGCCTCTCACCTCTCCCCATGTAGTGATTGAACCAGATCCCTGGCCATGCTACCCCAGTGCCTTTCCACTATTACCTGTGCAATGGTCTCTGTGGCTGGTGGGTGAAGTCAGGGCTGTAGAGGAGTGTCTGATGACATGCTACCTTTGAACCTATTATCTTGGCCAAGTGGTTAGGATGCTGTTCTTGGGTGTAGGGGCTGTGGGTTCTGCCTTTTTTCCCTGTGGGCAGCATTTTGCTGCCAGTGGGTTCTTGCTGAGGACAGGGTAGATGTCCTGTCCACTATACGGTTGTGTGTGGGGGGGCTGCTTGGGTCATGTGCCTCTGTTGGGCCTGTGTTGTTGTTGGACTTTTCCTCCCTGTCCGGTAGGGTTGCTATGGACTCTGGCATGCTTGGTATGCCATCTATGCCATGTGGAGGGGCACATGTTATTTCCCCTGGCAGAATAGCTATAGAATATCTATAGGGAACAGACCAGTGGCACTGCTTTTGCATTGCCAGGTGGCTGCCACTGCCAGAGCAGCCCTCAGGATTGTGCTGTTAATCTTTATCATAAAAGTTTGGATTTTAGGAAGACACTACTTAAAAGTATTAACTCAGTTCACTTTGTTGTGTTTCTGGATATCTTTTCACAGAAATGCCTTAGTTAAGATTACTAATTTCAGGTTCCTTACAATTTGTGATTGTGCTTGATACTATTGTAATATTTTTTATATCTTCTTGTAGAACCAACTTCCACCCAAATGCTTTGAACCAACCATGAAGAAACCCAAATGCTCTAAGAAGCTAAACATGCATTATTAGACATTTGCTGTTAAAATATCACTTAGGACTCAATATTTATTAATAAAATTAGAAAACCTATGGGTATATTAATGAAGAATATCTTTTTTTCTTTAAAAGACATTGATGAATGTGAGAGAGGGACTCACAGCTGCAAGATAAACTTCATATGTCAAAATACAAAAGGGTCATTCTATTGTGAATCAAAGCAACGATGCATGGATGGGTTTTTACAAGATCCAGAGGGAAATTGTGTGGGTGAGCATAACTTGAGCCATGTATTCTTAATTAATGTTCTTAAAAGTTCAACTATTTTCTTCTCTTAAAATCCACAGCTCCCTCCCTTCCCAAACTATTTGCATAATGTTAAATTTCTAAATGTTGGCATAATAGATTCTCATCAGCCTGGAATTTATTGCATCATAAATCAGAACCAAATGGAGAGGAAAGGAGTGACAGCGGGGAGATGGCTGTCTGATTAATTTAATAGCTGATACTGCTACATTAATATACATTCTCTTCTACAGACATTAATGAATGTACATCACTTTCTGAGCCATGTAAGCCTGGATTCAACTGCATCAATACTGTGGGGTCATATACATGTCAGAGGAATCTGTTAATTTGCAGCAGAGGATATCATTCAAGTGAAGATGGAACCAGATGTGTTGGTAAGGCTCAGCTCAAGGACTGGGTTGAATATTTGGCTGATTTTAATGCAACCTCATCATTACATCCAACAGTTTTTGGAATGTTTGGCTGATTGTAATGCAACCTTGCATTCTCATCATTACATCCAACAGTTTTTGGAATTCTTCTATTCTGTATTCAAACTTTCCACAGATACATGGAAGGGTTTATTGCAAACATTCCATAAAACATTGACAGCGTCTACATTCTGTTTTAGTTTGTGATGGAATATCTTAGTTGCCACAGAAAGGATGTCCACCCACATGTTTTGCTATATCTGAAGATGGATTTCAACATGTACAGATTTGAGTAACACTGCCAAATCCATGAGGTTTTGTCTCTTAAGTTCTTTTTTGAACAATGCTGCTTGTTATTATTATCATGTGGTGGGAGCTCACATTAAGTATTGTGGAATGAGGATGTTAGTCTTGTTTGTGAAGAAAGCACTCTCATTCCAGTTTTTACCAACAGGAACCACTAATCTGAGCCAACAGAAAATAACTACCAATGCATCAATAGCTGTGGCATAGCTGTAAAATGGGTCCAATCAGGGGTCGTTTCGTAGAAAAAACTCAGCACCCAAGGGGTAACTTCAGCGTATTTTCAGAATTTGGAATAGTGGCAGAGAAACAGATGTGTGAGTAATATATTTTCAGTGCACATGGGCTAGTGCATATCCGTTACTGGAAGGTTCATGGACATCCAAATATCTTGTGTATATTTCCCAAGGGGAGATGGACATTCCACTTTAGAAGAGCTGAAACACAGCAAAAGGGCAAGCTATCCATGTATATGCTTTTCTGCCACACATTTCAAGGTGGGGAAAAACACCTTTATTTCTCATCGGTTTTGGCCAGTTTAGACCTGGGGGTGGGGGTGGGGGTGGATGAAAGATTGTTGAAGTTAAGATGGATTTTGACTTACATTTTTGAATATGAATGATATAGTATTTATGGTGCCTGGTGATGAGTGGCAGAGGGCCAGTAGGGAACAGAGTGCTGATGTGGTGTCCTGGTTAGAATGTGAGATTAGAATCTGGAGGCCCAGGATTGGATCCCCACGGAAGCTCACTGAGTGACCTTGGGCCAGTCACTTGTGTTTACCCTAGCCTACCTCTTGTGATGATAAAATGGAGGAGAGGAGAATAAGGTAAGCTGCTTTGGGTCCCGTCCCCACCCCGGGGAGAAAGACAGGATAACAATGAAGCAAATAATAAATATATAAATCATGGAGCAGTGATGAGGGAGGCATGCCTTTACCAGCACCTGTCGTTTAACAGTGAAGGTAAAGAGGTCAGTTCAAAGAATGTTGTGCAGTTGATGAAAGGTCATTCCTCAGATCCATATTTACAAAGTGCTGTCCAAGCTGCCCCCTACTCAGAGTCTTGATGTTTAGTACAGTTTCTTTAGATAAGGTAGGAATATGAAGAACAAACACAGAAGATTCTTATTTTTTTTATCCCTAATAAAAGGCGTAACGATGGATAATTGGGTTTCATATTAGATTAATCCATGGTAATAGAAATATATCACTGGGACAAGTCTCGGCTGCAGAACTGTGTATGGGTGGTCACTTTCCTTTGTTTAGAGAATTCATCTTCCCAATAACATTCATTCTCTTTAATTCACTAGGTTGGTTAGCAGCACCTTCCTTCTATATTTAATTGAAAAATACTGCAGTTTTCATAAGATATGGTGCCCTTCTGACTGAATAATTTTCTGGACCTAATTAAAGGCTGAATGCACCGGAACACACAATTTCACAGAAACTAATCAAGAGGCTGAACAAATGAACTAATGGCAACTAAAGTTGCTCATTTGCAGATTTAAATCAGTATCAAAATTAACTTTTTATGCTTCCCCAGTTGCAAGGAAAGCAGTAAAAAGACATCCTATTAATAAAAAACCTCCTCCTTTATGATATGGATTTATATATTGCCATGTTTATTAAAAGGCTGCTTATAAAATAGATAGCTCAGGAAATATTGCTAAGCAATTGAAGCTTCTACACTACAGATTTCTACCATTTGTTTTTAGAATTTTCCAGTCATCTTTCCATGCTGAAATTAGATTAGATGTATCTGATATCATCGTGATTCTCTGCGAGACTGGTACAATTTGACAGGTAGGCAGAATAACAGACGTCCAAGAACTAGATCAGAAAGTTCATTTGGAACTCATTTGGAAAATGTTATTTATTTATTTCTTCTATTATTTCATTAATACCTCACCTTTCTCCCCAATGAGGGACCCAAAGCAGCTTCCATTGTTCTTCTCGCCTCCATTTTATCCTCATAAAAGCCCCGTGAGAGATAGGTTAGGCTGAGAGTGTATGACTGGCCCAAGGTCACCCAAGAAGCTGCCATGGCAGAGTGGGGGTTCATCCATTCTGCCTATTCTTTCCATTCATCCATTCCCTCTGTCTTGATCCTAGGGAAAAAGCTGGTTGAGCCAACACACCTTACTTCAAGCTTTTACTTCTGGATGCCTTATAACCTGTTGAATAAACTAACCATTTTTATTGAAATCAAAAACCAGCGCAGCTGCTACCATTCTGATACATTTTATCTCTTGTGGCCCAAATGCTTGGGAAATACTGAAACAGAAAAAATCCATACACATTTATTTATGCAGGGGACTTTCCAATCTCATTGTTTACTATCCTAAAGAATGTTATATCTAAGTAGCATAGAACCAAGCAAAGAAGGCGCACTGTCAGAAAATAAGTTTTGAGTAACCCAGGCCAAAAAAGTAGTTTGAAATAAATAAAAGTTTATTTAAGGAGATGTAGTATATCTTGGGGCAACCCTGTGTAAACACCAGTAGCCAATTTCAGTGAGAGATCAACGGACAGGATGGCATTGGTGTGGCAGGAGGACATTTCTTGAGTGGTGGCAGTAACAGGCGAGAGAACAGTGGCTGTGTTAGGAATAAGCAGTGACTGAGCTGCTGCTGTGAGTGAAGGCTTGGGAGGCACTGCAATGGAAATGTGACCAGTGGGAGAACTAAAGGTCTTATGGGGGTGAGTTAATTGGGTATTTAATGCCTAGCTTGGCAAGACTGGAAAGGGCATCTCTGGAACTCACTTAAAGCCCATAAGAGGAGACGGGTCATAGCTCAGTGGGGGTCATGGCTCTTGCATCTGATTTGTAGGCAGAAGTTCCCACAATAAATACCTGGTATTTCCAGTTAAAAGGACTAGGTAGTAGGTGATGTGGAAAAAAAATCTCTGGAGAGCTACTGGCAGCCTGAATAGACCATTCTGACCCTGATGGCCCTTTGATCTGATTCAGTAAAAGGCAGCTTCATGTGTTCATGTGAGAGCCTGGAGAGAAGAAGGTGGTCAAAGGTGAAATAACTTCCTTCCCTCTCATCTGAAGCCACCAATGAGTGGGTACATAGTGGAATCACAGGGTGGCTGCTGCTGTCACAGAAGGCAAACCTGATGGGGCAATCATACAATATGAAGTTAGGCACATTGGAAAATACATACAAAAATAGCATCCTAAGAATTAAAACTCTGCATTTCCTACAGATAAAAGTCAGGTTGTCCAGTCACAGCAAGATTGTTCACCAGTTCACAGTTGACACAGTTACTGTTCATCGGAGAGCAAAGCCAGGCTCCTTCTCACAGCATGTAGCGAGCTCTCTATTGTTGATCTAAGCAAGGAAAACCAAACCCTCTCCATTTCGGAGTTACAGGTGTCAATATTGACAGCATGTGTCAAGCAGGTCTGAAAAAATCCAAAAGCAAGCATTTTGGTTACAGTCCAAATTGGACTTGGGCTTAGAGATGATACAGCCAGCCAGTTGCCTAGGAGTAAGTCCCTTTTAGGCATCACTTAACTACAGATATGGTCAGAGGAGATGTCTGTTTAACATCCAGGTTGACACACAATGTTGAAGATAGAAAATATTGAGAGAGAAAATAACTGGGATAGCTCAGTCTGGCAGACTGAAAATCCCGGGTGGTAATATGCCTGATGTTGTGAAAAATGTATGTCTTGTGTTCTAGAGGAATATCAAAATTAATATACAAAGCAGCATAAGATTGTCCAGCACTGGCCCCGGTCACACGGGAGGTTTTGGGCCGGAAGAGGGCCGGATCGGGGGTGCAGAAAACGGGCGTGAGCACACCGCCACATCTGGGAAGCGGCGCGCACCCGTCCCCGATCCGGCCCTTCGGGCCGAAAATGCACTGGAAAAAGGAACCAGCAAAAGAGGAGCACTTACCTGAAACTGTGCAGCAAGCGTGGCCGTGGGATCACCGGCGCGCCTGTCTTCAGGAGCATTCGAGGCTCCCAGCCGAACTGTGCATGCGCACACATGCGCAGCCAGGTGCCTCGCACTCCCTTCCGTGGCTTTCTCCCCGGCATCTGATCGTGCTGGGGAGCAACTGCGCAGTGGCTCATGGGATCTGTCTGATTCCACCGCCGCATGTTTCTTTTGGTGCGGCTTTACAAAGCCGCACTTTGGCCGCATCAATTTCCCCCCATGTGGCAGGGGCCACTATATATTTGTTGGCAGTCACATCTGTTTTGCAGGGAAGCCTCAAGTCTTATTTTCTCATTATATTATATATAGATTCCTTGGGTAGTGGATGTGTCAACCAGTTGTAACAATTTGTAAATATTGTGGGCATACTTGAGTGTAGTAAATTACAACGTGAGGAGCGGTCATGTCTTACTTATTTTGTATAGGCTGGGGACAGAGTTCAACAAGAGAAGACATCTCTATTTGTGATGAAAACTTACCTTGGTTTTGTCATTTTGCATCACTGAGTCTCCTATCCTTTTCCAGAAAAGGTCAGCTTTCTAAATCAAGCATAACAAACAAAACAGCAAAACGTCAATATCAAATGATGCTGTTTTGACAACACTGAGGACTGGGTCTTCTGTTTGGAGCAAAGCAACAGTATGCACTCCAGAGCTTTGCATGGAATATTTCATGTTATTTCGAAACTCTGACCATCAGAACTGCAGAACTGCATGGATGTGTCTTTGGGAAAGGGACTAGTGGAAGCTAATGACTTTTCATGCAATGCCAGGAAAACATTAACAGTGCTTCTGTTTCATTTTTCCCTCTTGCAATGCAAGCTCCTTCGTGCAGTGCAGCTGCCCCCAAATGGCAATACGCAGAGAATGACCAACAGCTTGACTCAGCAGGCTTAGAGTAATTGCTGCCTTTTGCTTCTTTAGACGTTGATGAATGTGAGACGGGTGTGCACCGCTGTGGAGAGGGACAGGTTTGTCATAATCTACCTGGAACTTACCGCTGTGAATGCAAGATGGGATATCAGTATGATGCATTCAGCAGAACGTGCATTGGTATGTATAGCAGAAGAGACAGTCATTCTGAAGGATGAGGCCTGGATTGCAAACCAGTATTTAGTGCTGTTGTTTAGAGTACACTTACAAATTCTAGAGCACCCTAGCTCAAACAAGATAATAAAATTACTTCTGAAACAACTTGCCCTCACAGTGTCCAGTTACCTGCAGCTCATCTATTCATCAGAAATATTCATTGAGAATATGTACCTAACTTATTTCAGTTACGGGTTATTGATTGGGTAATCCAAATATGGTATTTTCCTCATAGGTTAAAACTTTCCTCCTGGGAAAAAAGCTCACTGAATGTCTGCACAGCCTCCAAGAAAACAGGCCATGGGAGACAGAGATATAAACTACCAGTTTAAAAATTTCTAGCACGTAGTGTCTCTCCACAATTAGGGACCTGGACTTTCCATTACATCTGTTCCTATATTATTGGACTTCCATTATCTGGATGCAGCAACTATTTCACATAGGTGTTAGCAGGGCTTTTTTTGTAGAAAAAGCCCAGCATGAACTCATTAGCATAATAGGCCACACCCAACAGCAGAAAATCATTAGCATATTAGGCCACACCCCTGACTGCAGCTCATTAACATATTAGACCAAACCCCCATACCTTCCCTTGGCTTGCCCGGGCGCCCCGTGGCTGCAGGGAGCCAGGGCAAGCCAACCCTTGGACAGGCCAGGGAAGCGTTTAAATGCCTTCCCAACCCTTCCACCCCCCCCCCGGCCCACCCACCTCAGAGTCACCAGGGGGGTCACTCTCCAGGCCTTCCTTCTCTAGTCACGCACACTCAGAGGTTTTGGCTGTAGTGGGGGTGGCCAACTCTGAAGCCAGCCGGAACTCCGTTCCTGTGCGTTCCTGCCCCAAAATAGCCCTGGGTGTTAGTGAAAAACATGATGTGGGTCCCGATCATATGGGCTGGATAATGCGGGGGGGAGGCATGGCTGTTTGCGCCATCGCAGTTTGATCCATGATTATGCGATCAGACATGACGACAGTGCAGCGGGGTTTTGTCGGTCAGAGGCCGCAGCAAAGACAATGGCTGGAGGGGATAGCTGCGCGCTGGTGCGATCACACCACCCAATTCCGTCAGCAGCCTGTGGCAAGCGGGTTGCTAGTACTTCTTGGCAGGTATTTTTTAACTCTGGGTTTTCAGCGGGAAGCCACGGGTGCACTACACTTGCCAGATGTGGCGGTGTGATCACGCACGGATAATTCGCCCGGCATCCATGGCTCTCCTGCGGCAGATTCGCCATGTGAACGGGGTGTGGTAACCAATGTCTTACGTATGTGGGAAGAATTGTGTGCAAAGTTTTCAAAAAGCATCAGTGAAACCTACAAGCTTTCCCTCTGCAGCAGGTCAGGAGCAGTGGGGCCACTATAGAAGTGAAATTAGCAAAGAATTCATCAGTTTTACATATACTTCCCTGGACTCCCTGAAGCAGGGTGGTTGTGGAAGTGTGTCTTTTTCACTGTTGCTCTTTGTAGCCTTTCAAAGAGACTAGATCAGTGATACAGTGTCTTGGGAGCCATGTGTGGCTCCTCTGATCACCATTCCTAAGTGTGGCACTTTTGGAAGGTGGGTAAAGCCCTTGCCCGGTGTCCAGCACAGGAGAGATGTATATGCTCTTTTGGTCAATGACAATTGCAGATGTGGCTGCCCGAAAGCCATGGTATGGGTACCACTTGACTAGATAATGCATAATTAATGCTGAAAACATGGATTATGGCATGAATAAACAATACTATCCTGCTTGCATGTGCCCATGTAAAATAGGATATGAAAATGTAGGATGGAAAACTCTGTGAAACCAAAGACGCTGGCTTTGTACATTGCTATTGATAGAAATAATTGCTCCTCCTATATTTCATCATTTGCTTACATTAGAATACAAAGCAAGGAAATATGAAATCTGCATCAATCACTATTATATATGCCACCCCCCTGCCCCATCTTGCAGTTTTCCTCATATATTCTTTGTTTATGGCAGATCTAAATGAATGTTGGAACTACCCTGGCCGACTATGTCAGCACTCATGTGAAAATACTCCCGGGTCCTATCATTGTTCCTGTTCTTCTGGCTTTCGTTTGGCTTATGATGGGAAGCACTGTGAAGGTAATTAGATGTGTTATAATGTCCTTTGATGACAAAGAGATTAAAGAAAGATGTGTGGATTGTGGAGCTCTTTCAAGGAAAGCTCAATGATAAAGATGTTTTATGTGCAGAAGGTCCTAAGTTAACTGGCATAGCCAGTCAAAGTAGAAGTTGCTGGAAAAGACATTTCTCTGTCTGAGACTCTGAAGAGCCGTTTCCACAATAGCAGAACCACTACCAGTCAGTAGACAATGCTGAGCTAAATAGACTAGGGATGTGCACCTGAAAACATAAACAAAAAACCCTAAACTCAATATTCTTTGGATTTCTGGCAGAGCATAAATGCTGGCATTCCATGATATTTGGGCCCGTCAATTATTTGGGTTCATTATTTGGGTTCATTATTACCTGGGGAAAACTTTGGGGGGGGCTGTTTGTCTACCAAAGAACACCCAAATTGCGGGGGAGCTAGTGCTGCCTTTCCTCTAAAGACCCACCAAGTTTTAATTGGAATCTCCAAGGGGTCCAATTCTTTGGGCCCCTGAACAAGAAGCCACCAGCTATCCAAGCTGCAGAGCTGCAAACTGGGGGTGGGGGGGGAACAGCCCTGATAAAGGGCACCCCCCCCAATGTATGTTTTATACTGAATCAGACCCTCGGTAAATCAGATGCAGTACTGTCTATTCAGTCTGGCAGCAGCTCTCCAAGATCTTAGGCAGACACATTTCACATCACCTACGACTTGATCCTTGTACCTGGAGATGTCAGGTGTAGCAAAATGCATTTTTTTTTTTATTTTATTTTAAGTACCCATGGGTACACTTTTATTAATTTTTTCTTTTATAATCTACAACAAACAAATCTACACACTACAAACAGACACTCTACTACACATAACATGTATACCAAGAGTACAGTTACATTATATGCTTATATCCAATTATTTAATTAATAGAAACGCTCTATCACTTTCCATTCTTCTGCATTTTATTTTGAGGTTTCAGGACTACCCCACAAACTCCTATGTCGGTGAGGTGGTGGGTCAAAAGATCATGGTCGACCATGTCAAACGCTGCTGTGAGATCCAGCAAACCTGTCATACAAACACACTTGTTTTAAAAAAGTTTTCTGAATTACCAGAAGGGGGAACTCAATTGCTCCCAAGTGTCCCCAAATACCAACCATCAAACTTTTGGAAATGCTAATGGCCATCCTGGCCAGAGACAATGAAATGGCCAGCTCACACTTTAGAAGTTGACAGGGGGATTTGGTGGTGATGCACATAACAGTGGCATAAGAGGCTTGGTAACATCTTCCTGGGGATTTCAGGAAAGGATTCTTTGACCCACAAGAGGGTAGGAAAACAGAAGAGATAAAATTCCTTCAACCGCAGGGAGAGGAATTAATTTTGGCTGACTCCATCCAGGGATAATTTGCAGAAGGGAACTCTCTCATCAAGCGCCATCTTGGATGGTGGCCATTGACACATGGAGCAGACATAGGGCTGGCTGCCTGGACTAAGACTCCAAGGTAATGGAAAGCTTTTAACAAACTGTAACTTCTAAATTAAGGAGCTTGACTTAGAAAAAGATTAACTAGGGCATACATAGAGCTGAGGGACAGAGGATCTCACATTTTCATCATTCCTTTGTGTTCCTTGTTCAATCCATTGCTATGAAGATAGTATGCATGTGAAGGAGCTCCGGTGGCTCAAGTGGTTAAGACGCTGAACTGCAGGCTGTGGAAGGTCAGTAGTTCAGAAGTTCGAGACCCGAGTTGTCACATGATGGAGTGAGCTCCTGTCTCTAGTTCCAGCTCCTGCCAACCTAGCAGTTCGAAAGCAAGAAATTGCAAGTAGATAAATAGGTACCACTTCAGTGGGAAAGTAACAGCGTTCCATGCGCCTTGGTGTTTAGTCATGCCGGACATGAGCACTGCAACCCTAGAGTCGGACTCGACTGGCTTTCAAGCAAGGGAACTTTTACCTTTATCTTTATGCATGTGAACTTTTTAGTTCTAATAAATTATCTACTGTTTTAAATGCTGGTAGGTGTTCTCTATACCATATAGACCTGTTGCCATTCAAGCACACTATTTAAAACAGGCATGAGGATAAGGGAGGTGGTCAGTTGCAAAAGTGCTATTTCCCTGGAAGTGTGTGGCGAGCTGTTCCCATGGTGACCAGACTTTGTGTAGTGGGAGACGTGGGCGCTAGGTGGAATATTAGAACAGCAATGTGATAGGGAAGCTGGGACTACTGGTCCTCTTGGCAGGTACTTCTGAAAATGACCAGTTGGTGGCAGCATACTAAAAGAAGAGTAAGAGAAGGCCCTCCCAGGGTCAGTGTGTTGCCCATTTTGGCAAATGGTCCTTTTAAGGATTTCAAGAAGGAATGACCAAACTAGTGGTAGAAGGAGAAACAGCTTTATTTTATACAAATTACAAACGTAAAACAGAATAACAAAAGGATACCCATATCCCTTTCTGCCCTGAAAACATCAGCGGCGGGTCGATTCAGGTGTATTGTCCAAAGGTTGCTCAGCACTGGCCTGGTCTGAGCTGAGGTTTTCTTCTTCTCCCTCTCTTCTTCTCCTTATCTCCTCCATCAGTCTTCTCTCACAGGAAAATAAGCCCTCCTAACTTATAGTGAAACAATTAAGTCCAGCTGGGATTTATTCCAAGGGCAGAGAAAACATCTCCTCCATTCCAATACCAGGTGCAATTACTTAAAACAGAAAACCCACCATCACTAACACCTTCCAGCCTGGTGCTGTCATCTAAACACACAGAAAGAGAAACTTGTGATCACCACTATCTCTTCTGCAGTATATCTCTACAGTCGGTTGATGCCTCAGAGGGCTGATCAGAGTGGCACGTGTTGGTCACGAGGACTGTTCTGCCACACCAGGGATTGAACCTGAAACCTTCTGCATGCAAAGCATCTGCTTGGACAATCTGTGGTCATTTCCCTTCTCCTTCTAACATAGCTAAATGTTCATGATATGATTATATTTGAACCATATTAAAAAAGAAAGAAAAGCTCCTTAAATATGATGGGTTATAATTGACAACATCTGGACTCCTTTAAAAGAAATTTGAGAATGACATCAAGTAGGGGTGATCATAAAGTGGGGACATTCCTTCTTTTTCTTTCACTTATTCATCTTCTTCACATAGCATCACGTACTTTTGGCTGTAGTCCTGCTCACTGTTAGCCATAAGTCTCACTGACATGAATTGGCCGTATGGGTCCATGTTTGCAGGATTTCAGAATGCATTTTCAGATGAAGAAAGCTTTATTTGTTGCAGTAGTTCTTTCCTTTTTCTGTTTCTCACATTATAAATATGCATTGCATAGGCCCTGTGTAGCCTTCGGGCTGACCTGTGGTCACTTGCACTCATCTGTACTACTAAAAAAAATTTCCTCTGTGTGCTACTGTATACAAGCTGAACATTGATCTTCATGTTTCCAGACATAGATCTTTTTGCAGTCATCACCAGGTTTAGCAGTTGCCCATTGTGAAGTCTCTTTCACCTTTCCATAATTTAGCTCTGAGCCATTGCTAGAAACATGGCAGTGTGTCAGACTGACTAAACGTAATGTCTGTTCTCTTTTTTTATACAGATGTCAATGAATGTGACAACAATCCATGCAGTCAAGAATGTGCGAATATTTATGGTTCCTATCAGTGTTATTGCAGGCAAGGCTATCAGTTAGCAGAAGACAGTCATTCTTGCAAAGGTAATACATTAACATCACAGCTATGTTCTGAATTTTCCAATGGCTTAGTAATGTTGTTTCATGGTCCTGATGTGTCTATAATTGTTTTTTCGCCCCCAGATATAGATGAGTGTGCACAAAGTGCAGGTATTCTGTGCACTTTTCGGTGCATTAATGTGCCTGGAAGTTATCAGTGTGTTTGTCCTGATGAAGGCTATACAATGTCAGCAAATGGAAGAAGTTGTCGGGGTAAGAATGAGGTTAAAGTGTCTCAGTTTGTTAAAATTCTTCTGTCACATTATGGACTAGTAATACTTTGTTTGCTATTATTCCTCTCAATAAAGATAACAGTTAATGCAATTATCACGGTAGCAGCAGTTGCAACTGACTCATGGCGGCCCCATGAAGTTACAAGCCAGGAATTCTTGGTGGTCTCTCATTTAAGTACTAACCAGGGCCAACCCTGCTTAGCTTCAGGGATCTGACAAGATTGGGCTAGCCTGAGCCATACAGATCAGGGTGCATCATAATTACTGCCTGTAAAATTGACGCAATTTCTAAAACTGTTTTGATTAGGGATGTTTGGACACCCACCAGTTCAGCTTATATACTGTTCACCAGTTGTGAACAGGGAACTGAATTTTCAACAAACTGTTTATCTGTCCATCAACTCATTTGTGGCTTTTCAGCAGGTTGCTTCAGCTATTGCTCTTGTACAGTACAACTGACTTTTTGCACATGCTCATTCTCCACATGGTGATTCTTCAGCAAAATGCTGAAGTTCTAGTCCCCCTTGCTGAGTAGTTGCTCCACCCAGCGGGTAATAGTTTAAACAGATAGTTAAATCAGTCACAAATCATATAAATCAGTGTTTAGTAACCACTGTAGAAAAAAATCCTATCTATTCAGTGGTTGTCTAAGTAGTCCTTAGTTATCTTAATAACTGGTGATCTGTTTTGAAGAACAGCATTTTCACGTATGCGCCATTTTGCCAAAACACAATGTGAACCCATTTTTCTGGTGTTTGGGTTATTCGGTGCTGAACTGAACAGACCCAGTGAATGGTTCATGTCTGACTGACAGAGCCAAATATGGGGGATTTGAAAGCCACAGCTGGGAATTACTGGATCCATCACTGGATGTTTATAATAAGTCCAGTCATTAATGGCACAGATTAGACGTCACATTATTTACTGTTGTATATGCTGTGGAGGAGTGAAATCACACTGTCTGCCTACCTTAGAGACATCCATACATAATCATAATGTTTAACGGCTGCCAAAAATCCAGTGGGTAGGAGCCAAAATCATGTGATCAGTTCCCATATTTGAAGTGAAGGTTATCAATCAAGCCATTTGTTGTTGTTGCTGCTGCTGTTTAGGATCATCAATTTTAGGCACATATACCCTGGCTAGTCCAATCTCATCAGATCTTGGAAGCTAAGCAGGGTTAATATTTGGATGAGAGACCACCAAGGAATTCCAAGGTTGCTATCCAGAGGCAGACAATATCAAACCACCTCTGAATGTCTCTTCCCTTGAAAACCCTACAGAGCCTCCTTAAATCAGTTGCAACTTGACAGCACTTTCCCATTCCACCCGATTCAAATATTATACTCATGCACAGATGCTGGGAAGTCTCAGAATTAGAACTGGTTTACCCATTCGATTGAATCAGAAGGCACAATCTCGATTCTGAACTGAGGCCAATGTAGGAGAAAGTATTGTCTTATTTGGACCATTTTATTCTGAAATGCACTATTCAATACCCTTTGTATTTCATTCATGGCTTTTTTCTTTTTTTTACAGTTCAGCAATTCATTCTGATATGTTTGAACTGGCATGCAGGAGTTTCATGTTATGGATCATTGTTTTCAAAACCATGTGGTAAAACTTTGGAGAAGTAAATCTCTTTGTGACATTAGATACCATATGGAAACAATTTATCTTTTCACCTTGTTTTAAGAATCAGCAAGGAGGGGCTTAATTTAATTCTCTTTGACTTCCTCTTGAACATTTTTCTTCATGGGCTTTTAAACCAAGCCACACTGCATGCAAGAGCAATTCTTGTCCCTCAGGGAAAGCTATGGTATTTTTAAAGATTATGTCTCCTGTATGACAACTGGCAGATTTCACCATAGTACTTTGCCACATGGTTTGCCTGTTAACATGTATTTTATTTGCAACCCCCTGAATGCTGTCTAGACATCTGCAAGTTCCTTGTGTGGCTACAAAATCTCAGACAGTTTTTTTTTAATCTGCTTGAACTGGATCCATCACATCTGGTATTTCTGCATTTTCGGAACCACAGCTCAATACTTACTATCTTATTGTTCAAGAACTGATTCTGTGCCCAGAAACTAAAGTATTTTTTATTGTTAAGCACACCTTATGTGAAAATATGGGCAGTAACATACCTATGTACCTTTGTACATATCCACATATAAAAGGATATATGTAAAAGAGGATTCCATTGCTCCTTTTAGCAACACGAGTCCCATTACAAACCCAGTGAAAAATAGCTCCAACACAGAGAACTCACGGGATGCAGTGAGTTTCCCCTTATTGTTTCCTTGCCTAAAATTACAGGTATATATCCACATATAAAAGGATATATGTAAAAGAGGATTCCATTGCTCCTTTTAGCAACACGAGTCCCATTACAAACCCAGTGAAAAATAGCTCCAACACAGAGAACTCACGGGATGCAGTGAGTTTCCCCTTATTGTTTCCTTGCCTAAAATTACAAGACGTGAATGCATTTGTCATCTTTCCTCTAGAGTATACAGTTTTTGTTGATACTGTCAATTAAATATTAAGATCAAGTGGGATACGTATCAAGTGAATTTCTTTACTAGCCAGCAATGTGCAAAATGGGTAAATAATTCACAGAGAGAAAAGTTGGATTTAAACTATCCCTTATTACATGGGAGCAAAATGTATACATTGTTGATTTCTGTTAGTAGAAACATATACTTTACCCACAATACCTATCCTGACAGTTGGTTCATGCAGGGGATATTTCTAGAATGGCTTGGGGATGAGGCCACATCTTGTGTGTGACTGTATAGTGTTTGTGACTGTACTGTGTAATCTCTCCTGTGTGTTTCATTCCCAGATATTGATGAATGTGCACTGGGAAACCACAATTGTTCTTCAGCACAGTCATGTTACAATGTTCAAGGCAGTTTCCGATGTCTTTTGTTTGAGTGCCCAGCCAACTATAGAAAAGTGTCTGATACGTAAGTCCAAACAGTTTTAAAAAAAATGTAAAATGCTCACATCACAAGGGGAGGAGGTATTTACAATGCTCCTTAGCAGGGGTCATTTCATAGAAAAAGAGGTGCTGGAGCTCATTAGCATAACTCATTAGCATAACTTATTTGCATATGCCACACCCCCTGATATCACCAGAAGTGTGTCAGAAGGCAACACCCACTGCTCAGGTTCCACTGGACTGTTTTAGATTGCTAGCTATTGAGGGGGGTGGAACGTGCAGCTCTGTCCTCGCAGGGGAGGGAGAGCTTGTGCCTGAATAAAACTTGGTCTTAAAGGTGCCACTGGACTGTTTTGGACCGGGGGGCCAGGGGGAGCTCTGCAACTTACCTGGCTGCTTCTTGCTCTGACTGAGGGCTGCTGGGAGCAGGGGGTGGGGTTTGTTGCATGTGCCCGCCCCCTGGGCTCTTTACTGCCAGAGTTTTGCTCCTGTGCGCTCCTGCAGGAAATGACCCTTGCACCTTAGTAACTGTTTTGCATGATAAAAGGCTATCTGTTGAACCCCAAGTGCTCTTGTTTGAGGGTAATCCAAGTGTCTTCTCTTTAGGCACTTTTTCAAGGATGACTTCATACCAAGGTAAAAGTGTTGGCCCATTCAGAATGGGTGCAGGAAGCAAAACTGATTGGCACTGTAACATTGTGGTCTATTCTTTATGTAGTATTATAATGTAAGCATAATGATCCCTGAGTGGCTAGGGACTCTATTCCCAATAAAAAGATTTTTAAAAACCCAAAAAAATGAACCATGCAGTGAAACAGTTGTGAAGAGAGACAACAACCAGTTGCAAAAATATCAATATTTGAGGTTTCAGAGAACAATTTAAGCCCCTCCAAAGAATCCTTTTTGCAGCAAGGTGTTCATCCACAAACATTTGGCATGACACTCATTTTAATTTGGAAGAAGCAAATATGCTCCATCCAGAAGTTCAGAATCAAGCAGGAGGGAGGTCAGATAAATTAACTCAAACCTAGGAGAAAATGTTGGATATGTTCTGCTAACTTGAAGTTGTTTTATAATAAAATAATTCACTGGAAATTGCTATAGAATATGTCAGTCTAGAGAACCTGAAAATAGACAAAGATCCCAACTAAATGATTGTATAGACTCAAGAAATTCTACCCACAAAACTTGATTCTCCTGCCTTCCTCTTCCCACAGTAATCCACCTCCCTCCTGAAATCCTTTTCCTGAAATCCCTCCTCTCTCAGCTGTCATGGAAGGAGAGTGATTAAAACATGTAATTCACTGCCAGAGGATATAGTGGGGGGCACAGGAATAAACAGCTTTAAAAAAGGATTAGATAAATTGATGGAGGATAAGTCTACCAATGACTGCTAGCCATGGTGACTGAGAGGAATCTCCACATTCAGAGGCACTAAGGCTCTAAATCACAGAGTGAGGAGGCAACATCAGAGGAAGACCTTGGCCTCTATGCCCTGTTATGGCCATCCAGAGGAACTGGTTGGCCACTGTGTGAGACAGGATGCTGGACTAGATGGACCATTGGTCTGATCCAGCAGGGCTCTTCTTATGGTGTTAAGGAGGGAGGCAGGGAATTTTCACTCTTGAGTATGGAAGTCCTTGCATCCATGTTACTCTAGATACAACCCAAAGAATTTGCTTTTCCAAACACGGGGGATTTTTTTTCTGCACTACTCACTACTGAAAGCCAGTGTGGTGTAGTGGTTAAGAATGACAAACTCAAATCTGGAGAACTGGGTTTGATTCCCCAGTCCTCCTTTACATCAAACCTGCTGGGTGACCTTGGGCCAGTCACAGTTCTCTCAGAACTCTCAGCCCCACCTACTTCACAAGGTGTTTATTGTGGGGAGAGGAAGGGAAGGTGATTGTAAACCACTGTGACACTCCTTAAGGTAGAAAAAAATGGAGTATAAAAGCCTTCTCTTCTTCTAAAAATCTGTAAGAATATTCTGAGTTTCCCAGGATTGCCCTCAAAATCCCAAATTTTGAAAGTTTTTACTGAACATGAAATTGAGCAAACTCCAGAGAACAGCAGAAGACAGGAGGGCCCTGCATGATGTGGTCCATGGGGTCGCGAAGAGTCGGACACAACTGTGCAACTGAACGACAACAAAAATGTACATTTATTCACACTTTCCACCAGTGGGGACTCAAAGCATCTTACATGGTTCTCCTTTACTCCATTTTATCCTCACAACTCTGTGAGATAGGTCAAGGCCTGAATGTGTGTGACTGGCACAAGATCACCAAGCAAGTTTCCATGTCTGAGTGGGGATTCAAACCCAGGTCTCCCAGACCCTAGTGTCATACTATACACTGTACTGGCTCTAGTGTAATACTAGTATCATAAGTATTACTATTACATATTTTAACAAAATCCATGCTATGGACCTTAACATCTTAAATGCATAGACATCCAGGATCTTTGACTGAACCTTTCCCCATGAATCCAGCCCCTGGATCTCTGCATCACAACCTGTTTTTAATCTCAGGAGGCCAGAAAAAATATTTTGCATAGATATTCAACAAGTTCAGTATTTCACCCCACAGTGAAACTCAGAATGGGGTCTTTCCTGATTACCTGCCCTTGGAGGCTCTGCTTGAGATTCTGCAGACCTTATTCAGTCAGAAACTTCTCAGAAATGTGGTTAGACGAAGTTCAGTGTAAGTTAGCATAAGGCAGCTCCTTCTTGTGGAACTATGAAGCTGGAAATGAATGCAGAAACCATGCTTTGGGCTGCCTTTTCTCTACTTTTTACACAGCTTGATCAGAGTACTGCATTCTGATGAATCACAGATTCCTTTTCCAGGCAAACCCACACAGTATGACTTTGTCTGTAGTTTTCTATACACTCATTGTGGAGCTTCCAAAAGGGGTTTTCAGGGCCCATGATCTTTTGATACTTGGATGTTATGCTGACAATTGCCTCAGTGTACAGGGTGTTGTAAAGGAAGAACAAGCAGATGTTAATTACAGTTAAAAGTTCGCAGCTCTGCTGTATATCCGTCTAACAGCTGAGAGGTTTTCTGGGACTTTGTGAATCACCCACATTCTGTATCATCTGAACTGCAGGCATTGCAGTGCTAAATATTTCTTTTTTCCCTGTTTTCTCAGGAGGTGTGAGCGTATCAACTGCTTCAACTATCTGGATTGCCAAAACACTCCCTTGAGAATTACTTACTATCAGCTTAACTTCCAAACCAACATTGTAGTCCCGGCTCATATTTTCCGAATTGGCCCCTCGCCAGCTTATGCTGGAGATAACATAATCCTTACCATCAACAAAGGAAATGAAGAGAACTACTTCAGCACTAGAAAACTTAATTCCTACACAGGCATTGTCTACCTTCAACGGCAAGTGAAGGAACCCAAAGACTTTTTGTTAGATGTTGAAATGAAGCTTTGGCGTCAAGGAACATACACGACTTTTCTGGCCAAAATTTACATCTTCATCACTTCTCATGTCTACTGAAGCAACATGTCTTGCCATGGGAGTTAATCCTGGTGCTATGCCATTTAACTTTTCTTCCAGATAATGCTATTGTTATTATTATTATTTTAGAAAAGCTGTGTCTAGCCTTTTAGATTGATTTTCTAGTGCATAAAATATTTTTTGTACAATTAACTTAAAATGTATTACTCTGTTTTGCTTGCAACTCTTTGTATTTTAACTGAGCAAGAAAAAAGGCTTTGAGTTTTAAAGCAGTATATGTATAGTAGTTACAACGGGTTCTCTTGGTATGTTCTCTTGATATTGCACCAGTGAGGAATTCAGAATATCCCCCCCCCCCCGGATTTAAACACTTATCCATTGAACTGATTTCAGTGGGGAAAATATGCCTGTGGACACTGAAATCAGTCAGGATTTTAAAAGTGCTTGAGTGCTACTGGCTTGTGCCCTTATACAGGCTGGGTGCCATTTTCTGATCTTGATGATACTTGGTGAAGAATAATTGTATGGCAGAGAGAAAGTTCAACCAGTTAATTCCTTTGGCCTGCTGAGCTCCCTTTTTAGTACAGCTTTTCAATGGATAAGAAACCATTTAAGTTGAAGATACACTTAAAGTATAAGGAAAGCTCACAACTGATTTTGTATCCGTATCTGCCTCAAGCATGCCAGCCGAGCTGATGCTGATGTGTCATCTTTCCCTTCCCTACCTACTTGACTCCTCAGCCGCTTCCATGGCAGCGTCTTTCTTCATTTTTCTCTAGATGGAACAGGGCAAAGCAAGACTGACCTAGCAGCAGCTGATTTGCCAATACATTAAATAGGAGTATGCCAGTGCATTAAATAGGAGGTGCCCTGTCTATCATCAGCCTTTGAGTCAGAAACTGGCAACCTTTGTCATGAAAGAGAGGAAGCTGATCTTCTTTGGTGTTACCCGGTATCTAGGAAAAGGCACCCTGGGCAATTTTTTTCATAGTGTTACTTTCCCACAGATCTTATTCCAAGGTGCTCTAAAACAGGGTTTGAAATCTGTTCAAACACCACCAGTCAGATCCCAAGCAATCAGGACAGGGCATTCTAATGCCTATATAAACACAATGGTTGGTGTTGCAAAGATGTCAGCCCTGCCAAACTCAGCATAGTGCCACATGTTCTGTGTCAGTTGCTGTGCATACCTGAGTTTCTCATCAGAAACCTGCTGACTACATGCAAACAGCCTTAAAATTGGTGTATACTCATGTGTACCTGTAGCTATCATGTTTGCTATACAAAACATAGAACTGCTCTTCATTTCACAGGCCAGTGTTTGTGATTGTGATGCCAAACAGAAGTCCAATTACTTTGTATTAAGTGCTTTCCCTCCATCATAATTTGTGTAGCCTTTTCCTCAACTACAAACACATCTCTAATGTGCCTAATCTGGCTGGGAGCACATCCAGTGCTTAGAATTAATATTTGCTAAAGCATTTCCGTTCCCTAAAGTTTAGGGAACAGAAGGAAGTGCTGTGCTTTCTTGCTGACATTTGCAGTTTGGGGTACTTGCCTGGTTATATTTAAACTAAATCCTAAAACAACACCTCATTTTCGACGAACTCGAGGTGCAGACAAGGTGTATTATACTCTTTCAAGGAAATGCCAAAGATTAAGGATGCCAAACCAAAACCGAAAATGCCAAACCATTCTCACACCTCATTGAGTTGCATGCATGTCCAAGTAGAATGTTAAGATAAAACTTGAAGAAAACAAATGAAATTCATGTTTCTGCTTTTCCAGCCTGAATTACAAGGTGGAAGCGTAGGAAGCTGGTTAATCTGGGAGCTTGCAGAAATCATATGCTGTACTAATAGCAACATGGCAGGTTTTATTTTTTATTATTATTTCTTGTATTTTATAGAAAAGTGACGAGATCCAGACCTATGGGCCACATGTGCTAGCGGGTAGCTTAATCAAAAGATTTGTTGAAATTTACAAGTGAACAGCAGAATTTCAAAGCAAATATTTGGGTTTTTTTAGATAAAATGCTCCAGTTGTATTATTTTACTGAGTATCTGTTAACATGGTTATCTTGACAATACAAAAATGCTAATGGAAAGCATAAGTACAATAAGTACAATGTACAGGATTCATTTTTACAGTAGAATTTTAATCCCCTCCCTATTCTCCAGTGATCTTATTTTGTATATAAAACAAAGCCATGTCTTGAATGCTTTTTATACAGTGATATGCAGTATTATTGCAATGTAAAATACTAATTTGTTATGGATTGAACATGTAAATTCTTTCTTTGTTTAAGGGAAGTTGGAGATTAGAAAAACCTGTACTGTTCTCACCCGAGTAACTCTGACAATTTCAGCACTGTTATTTTTGTGCAGATATCGGTGCACAGTAAAATATCAATATTGTTTTAGCGGATGTTATAGTCATGTTTGTAGGGTTGGGGTTTTTGTTTTGCCCTGTATTTATAGAGTTTGCTGCAGTCTTGCTATCCCATCTTCTACAAACATTGCATTCTAATGCATAGCTGGACTTCTAGAGTTGGAAGGAAACTTGCCAGTAAAGATCTCCTTGCACTGCTAGGACACAACAAGAATCCCTGATTTAAAGGTTTTGTAAGTTACTTTAAGAGATTGGCATTGCAACTCTGAACAGTTGTACCCACCTAAGTCCATTGGAGGTGGCGTTAAAAGGGTGTAACTCTGCCATTGCAAAAGTAGCAAATGAGTGTACAGCCATACTCTCTCCCACCCTATTGTTCCTTTGTTCACTCTTCCCTCTTATCTGCTGAACTCTCTTTGTGATACAGTAGAAAGGGGGAAATGAAACACTATTTCCAGGTTAGTACCTGGCAACTTTAGTTAGGTTTCATAAGATATTTAGTTTATCACTCTACCCTAGAGACAAGGTCATCTTAGTGTGTGCACACATGCGCGTGTGCACACACACTCACACACACAGAGAGAGAAGCTGATATGGTTCAAGGAGAAAGCAGATTACCCAAAAGAGTGCATCCCATGTAAATAGATTCAGAGCAAACAGCTGGATGTTCCTCAGAGCTCATAATCTTAAATATGAACAGTAAAGGGAAAAATGGAAAATATGTTTGATAGATTGACACAGTCTGACACAGTCTGACGCAGGTGGCAGGTCTGCAGGAACTGAGGAAGAATCCCACCAGAAAATACCAGGTACATTCCAGAATTTGGTGTGGTTCCAGGTTCCAGTAGGGTGAAACTAAGAACAGATGAGTCTGAAATCAGCTCTTCAAAAGTTATGGAATGTCACTGCCATATTCTATCCTCAGGCATGAATGAAACCATCTGCAGCCCTAAGGATACCTCTGTGTGGAGGGCCATGCAGTCATGAGATCGAAAACTCTTTATATGCTTGCCCTAGCAGGGCACATCAAGAATCCCTGAAGCCCAACGTTTTCAATCAACATAAGCATTTGATTGAGTGAAAATGCTATTCAAGCTCCAGCAATCTGTCCTGTCAGGGAAATAATGGACAAGCAATTTGTAATTCAGAGACCTCCGCTAACAAAAAGAAACCATAGTCAATCATTATGTTAAGTCAGTGGCAGTTTGAAATGACAACATTTCATTTTCTAGGGGAGGTAATTAATCAAAAAAGTCCAGATAGATTTTAATAGTGATTTTAAATTTCTTCCTTTAGTAGGATCTATACCCTCTAAGCAAGTATATCCACTCTTCTTTTCTCAACATAGAAATCAACATTTCAGCTTTTCTGAAAATGTCAGGCATATATTTTTGGCTTACTTAAGAATATCTGTTGGCATAACTAACTTATGATGACTGACTTTTCCTATCTTAAATGGGTGCATTAATAGTCCTCCCACACAATATATCCTACAAATGAGCAGATGGGAATATCAAAATTAACCAGCTTACCATAAGCATCAGGTCCACTAGGTAAAATCATTGGCATTTGTGCCATGTACTTCCTGTGGCATTAAACTAGCACCATATGTAAAGTGTCCCTGGAAAAGTTAAACATCTTTTATTCAAGACACCTCTATGCTCTGTGCCATATAGGTACTGGTCTCAGTGTCAAGTGGTTGACCAGAGCAATTACATTGGTGCATATGGCCAACTAAATGGCATCCAGGTTTGTCCTAACATATAATCTTCAGTCATTCAAGGACAGACATGGATAGATAAACAGACCAAGAACTGTCTACTGATCCAGGACAAGAGAAATGAAAAACTGGGTGTAATGGAGAACAAGCCACCACTATCACCCCTACTCTGAACAGTTATTTGCATGTGGGAACTTCAGCAACTTTTCTCACTGCTGCTTGGGAACTAACCTGACCCAACCACTAATAGGGGGATAAAACAGTATAAGATCCAAGCAGTGCATGGCAGGAATAGGGATGGGCACAGACTGGCTGACAAACTAAACTTCATCAAGAATTTTGTCCAGTTCATAGTTTGTGAAGCAATGTTTGTGTACTGAAGAACTGCCACAAATTTTCAGGAATTTTGATGCAGTTAGTGCAGTTTGTGAAGAGCAGAAAAGTTTAAACCCCTGCTTTCTACTCTTCATTAAATCAGCTGGGGCTGAAATGGCTTGGAGCCATTTAAACCCCTGCTTTCTGCTCCAGGTGAGTGTGTGACTGCAATAAAGAAGGCCAATGCTATGCTGGGGATTATTAGGAAGGGTATTGAAAACAGATCAGCCAATATAATAATGCCCCTATATAAATCAATGGTGCGACCTCATTTGGAATACTGTGTGCAGTTCTGGGCACCACACCTTAAAAAGGATATTATAGCTTTGGAAAAAGTGCAGAAAAGGGCAACTCGAATGATAAAAGGGTTGGAACACTTTCCCTATTAAGAAAGGTTAAAGCACTTGGGGCTCTTTAGCTTGGAGAAACGACGACTGAGGGGTGACATGATCGAGGTTTATAAGATTATGCATGGGAAAGAGCAGGTAGAGAAAGAGGTACTTTTCTCCCTTTCTCACAATACAAGAACTCGTGGGCACTCCATGAAACTGCT